CTGACGTTGGGCATCTGGACCGTCATTCGCTCGGTGCCCATGTCCGTGGTGACAGCCGTGACCTTCGCGCAGAAGTACTCGAGGTCCTCTTCGTCGCGCCCGGCCAAAAGCCACATGCCCCACAGCAGCGCTATCCCCTTGGACACGGCATCGGCTTGGCCGTAGCACAGCGAGCTCCCAGGGAAAGTGATGTGATACCACGCCCCATCCTTCTTGCGCACGACCGCCACTATGCCCTGGAACTCCTCGCCACAACTTGGGCTTGCATCAGTGTGGAGCGCAATGCAATCGATGAGGTCGTGCACCCGATCAGCATGCCAGAACCGACGATGCAAGAGCATGGCCACAACGTCCACGCGACGAAGCGCATTCTCGAAAGTCGTCCTTGCAGGTCGTCGCGCCAAGTGCCCCGATCACCAACCCCCAGGCCCCAATTCCGAAAGCACAGGAGCATTGTCGCTCGACACCCCCGACGGGTCGGGCAATATCGACGGCGCACTAGATACCTCAAGCTGGGGGCGGGGCGGGGCGAGGCGATCGGGCCAGGGGTTGGCATCGATAACATTTGGCGCGCCCGTCCTCGGAATATCATCGGTCCTCGGGTTCCCCGTCGACCTCGTATGCATAGGCGTCTGCGAGGGCCTCCTGGAAGTCCCGCGCAGACCGAAGATGACGGCGAAACCGAAGGGCCCTGAAGATTTTGAGGGGGTCCGCTTTCCTCTTGCCCGCGCCGGCGTCGACGCGTAGCTGGCCGTCGCGTCGACGCTTAGCTGGCCTGGGGCACTCCAACACGAGCTCGTCGTAAGAAGCCACTTCTCCACCGAGCCGCGGTCGCTTTCGACCTCCAGCTGCGCGGCGGACTCCACACTGGCCCCGCCATCGTTTGATGAAACACTTCCTCGGGTGGTTCGGGACCAGGCCGTCATAAGACGATCTCATGCACAATCGACAAGAAGATAAAAGGACAGTCGACGTCGCTTCGAAAAGCGCGGCGAGCAGGCGAAGGCTTAAAACATGCACGCAGCATGCGGAATCTGAAACCCTCGCTGCTTCACCGTGGCCAACAAGAAAACGCGTCTCCGCAGGCACACCCTGGATGGATTCGAGCAGCTCTGCCAAGCACGCCGGGTCACTAACATGTTCTCGCGTGTCCTCGGGAACAGCAACAAACCGTGACAACTGCCATGTGGTGAGCACGCGGTAAAATACAAATCCCCACGCGTCTCCTCGATTGTCATGCGGGTTGTATGTTAAAGCTGATTCGTGGAGATCTTTAGAATCACTGGTAAACGCCTGGAAAGACCACTCGCACTCGCAGTACCCTGCAATGTTCAAGGACTGCGAAGAATTGTCGGCTCGATGCTGATTCTCAGGCGGCGCGCCCTTCAGGTGGCCACTGCTCAACAGAAGCGCGGAAAAGCGGCCCTGCTTCGGAGGCGAACCCCGCCGGGCCCGCCTCTGCCGCCCCCGCCCGATGTTCTCAGCAGCTGCCGCGGCCCCTCCACCGATGCTGTCGCTGTCGGTGGCCGCGCCCCCTCCGCCAATGCTATCGCTGTCGGCGGCCTCGGCTCTGGCTCCGCCCGCAAGCGCAGCCGTCGTTTCGACGCGCGGCGTAGCCGCGGAGGCCACAATAACTCAAAGCGTATCTTGGGCCAAAACGGCTACGGTTAACAGAATACGATATCATGACGTGAGCGATATGTTGAGAATAATGGTACACCTGAAGAGTGCGCGATATCTCAACCAGTATAAGGGGGGAAGTACTTATTTTGAGGGGGCCCCGATCCCTGGATGAATAACAAAGCCCCCGTACACTCAACAAAACCATGTCCCAAATTGACGGGGTGATATGGGAGAAACGCAATGGGGACAAACGTGGCCACGGAGCGGCCGCGAGACCGGTCTCGGCAGCGGGGCACGCGGTCGAGAAGTTGCGAAACACTGCCGAGTCGGGGTCGCGAGCTTTTGAGGACCTGCCTCGAAGATGGCCGGCGAGACGCGGCCGCCCCCCCCCCGACACTTACCCGAACGTACTGGGATAAAAATGCCCGAACCCCCCGCTAGCATAGACTGGGCGGGGGAAAGGGGGAGGGGGCGAAGACGCGATGAATGAATGGCGAACGGCTCGTCGCTTAGAGGGGTCGAGGATGGCGAGGATGCGGGAGGGGGCAGGAAAAAAGAGAAAAGAAGAAGAATGAGAAGAATGAGTCGAGGAAGGAAAGCGATTGCAAAACAAACAAGAAGAAAGGAAGTTGAGTAATGCGGGGGCCGTGGGAATTGAAGAGGACGGGGGAAAGATAAGGCGAAAGGTTAGGAAGGGGAGATCGAGGAAAAGGACAAGGGCACCATCCCCATAGCCTGTTCGAACTATAGGAGGTCACGCGGAACGAGACACGGTGGACGGCGGGCCCCCCGCTCGGGGCGGGGCGACGTTCTGACTAGGACCCTAAGGGTTGATGGGCGCGCGAGGGGGTTCCAAACCCACCCCCAACTGCACCTGGCAACGGTTGGAAGACAGAGGAGACCCGTCCGCCCGAAGCGTGCGCCCTCTAATTGGGCGATATGAAAAATACGCGCGTCTCGCAAGACGCCTGTATGTTTTACGCGCCATGTTGAGGCCCGACCCGCAAAACCAACGCGACCGCGATGAATATCATGCGAAAAGGGCGGCGCAACAAAACATAACAAGAAAACAATAAACGAAAATCACGCCCTGCACCCGCCCGCGCCACGCCCACGCCAATGCCGCGCCAACGCCACGCTAATTCTGGATAGACCAGTTAGGCTCCTTTCCAGGCCTTTACAATCGACAGCATCACTTTGTTATACCCCGCGTCATCATCATCAGCATCATCATCAGCATCCTCCTCATCCACATCAGCATCAGCATCATCATCAGCAGTATCATCTTTAGCACCAGCATCATCAGCAGCACCATCATCATCAACACCAGCAGCAGCTGCATCATCATCATCATCATCATCAGCAGCAGCATCATCATCAGCATCATCATCATCATCATTATCAGCACTAACAGCATCAGCATCATCAGCAGCCTCATCCCCAGTACAAGCAGCATCATAATCAGCATCATCAGTAATATCAGCATCATCAGCATCACCAGCAGCTGCATCATCACCGTCAGCATCGTCATCATCATCATCATCATCATCATCATCATCATCATCATCAGCATCATCATCGGCATCGCCATCGTCATCGTCATCATCGACATCGTCATCGTCGTCGTCGTCGTTCTCGTCGTAGTCGTTGTCGTCGCCCAGGGGCATACAAAAATAAATGCCCCTTCACGAGTCTTCTTCGTTTTAATCATCCGCGTCCACACCAACACCCCCTCCTCCTGGACCTCAGCCTCCTCACCATAGCATCCTCATGTGCCTCACCCTCCTCCTAGTCTCATCGTCCGAAGCCTCACCGTCGTCGCCGTCGACATTCAACACCACCATCGTCGATATCTCCCTCCTCCTGCTCCTCATTCTTCCTTCCCCGCCCGTCCCCCAAGATACCCACAGCATCCTCACTCGCTTCCTCCTCCTCCTCCTCCTCCCCCGTGTTCTCCTCCTCCTCCTCGTCTTCCTCTTCCTCCTCCTCCTCCTCCTACTCCTCCTCGTCATTATCATCACCATCATCCCCCATCAATGTTGCTGGCGCCATACCCCTCCTCCCCCTCCTCCCCCATCCCCTTCCCTCCCTTTCTCGCGCCTTCCCCTTCTACTCCCTCCTTCGCCCCCCTTCCTCCACCTCCTCCTGTCCCCCCTCCCCCCGCCCCAAGATGCAAAGCTGACCTCATCGAGCGGCGACGCAGGGCCTGCACTCAGCTTTGCATGTGGGGGGGGCGCGGAGGGGCATGACAACCACGGATACGGCAAGCCATCGAAGGGCTGCGTGCTTGAGGAATTCAATCCACGGAGCTAGCATTCGTTAAACGGCAGCCAGCGCACCAGGCCCAGACCAGCCAGCGCACTAAGAAAGGGGGGCGAAAAGACATAGTGGGCGTCATGCGGATTATTACGATGATCATGATGGCCAGGTTTTCACACGTCCCCAGCAACACGCAGCGCGAAGAATTTGACAGACATTCGTACGTGACGATTCCTGGGCGAGGGTCGTTGTCAATACCAAGGCTGGGAGGGGCCACCACTGGCGATGGGGTCGCAAATCACGTGCAGGCGCGCAGCTCTCGCTGGCGGTGCCCGCAGAGGCAAAGGCGGGGAGAGCGGGGGGCTGCGCAGCCCCTCCGCGGCCCCCCGGAGCTGGCCGGAGCTGGCCCAAGACGTCGGCGCTCGGCCGAAGTCCGCTCCGGCATCCTCAGGCGCTCGATGTGCAGTGGGCCTGGCATTCCAGGAGCACCTTCCCCCCAAGGCAATGTCCCGGGGGAGCACGGCTTACTGCCCGAGCCTATGCCCGGAGGGGAGAGGCAAGCCACTGGACTTACCTCAATGACCACCACAGGCACCATCACGGCGAAAAGCTAGAACTTATAAACCCGATCGTCAGAAGCAGCGGCCCCGTTACGACCCCAGCATGAGGGTCATTTCCGGAATGGCGCAAATGGCGCCATTATAACAAAGCGCTGCTATGACCCGAACCTCGGAAGCCGACTAGTCCCAGATCTCATTGACCTAATCGATCCTGGTCTGCAGCTCGCGGCCCAGTGACCCGCTGGCCTCCTGTGCCTGCATCTCCTTGCCGCCAACGGCGACCAGGCACGTGACAACGGAACGCGTACTATGCCTGATCTAGGACGGCGGACCAGGGGTCTCCAGGGCTCCAGGTCGATGAGTGGCAGGTCTCAGGCAGGCCGTGGACCACCTACGCTACCTCGACGGACCAGGGAACGCTGGGGCCTGCGCAGGGGCGCTCCTCACCTGGCCGCCCCCGCCGTACGCCGAAGGCGGCAGCATCAGAGCCGAGGGCCGGCGCAACACCGGCCCACTCTCGGCAGGGGATCCCCTCCACCACCCCCCTCCCCGGGCGGCCTCCGCACGGGACGCCAGCAGGCTGTCGACGCAGAGCGCGTGCCCCGCCTGCGCGGCGAGCATCAGGGCGGTCAGGCCCCGCTCCTCCGGGGAGGTGGGGAGACCTCCAGGCCTCCACGGGCCCACCTCGGGGCCAGGGAGCTTGTGGGAACGTGGCCGGCCGGGGCACAGGAGTGTCCACCGTGTCACGGCGAGGGCCCCAGAACTGATCGCCCCCATCGCCAGGGCTGGGCCTTCGCTGCGGATCTGTCTTGGATGGCCCCGGGGCTTCAAAAGCGGCCCCTGGGCACGAAAGTTGCACAGCTTTAAAAAAAGCTTGGCGAAGGACCTAAACCGATGCAGTTGTGAAGAAGGCAGTTGTGATGATCGTCTTCGGTGGAGCTCCTCATGGGGTCACGAAACGTGTGAGGATGTGCCGACATGGGCAGGGGGGGCGCATGCGAGGAGGCCTTCGGTGGGACTCCCTATGGGGACACGAGACGTGTGACGGGTGTGCCGGAATGGTTGCGGGGGACGCACGCCAGAACCGCCTCTGGGGCTTTCGGTGCAGCTCCCTATGGGACCCCCGAAGCGTGTGAGGGGTGTTCCGGAATGGGTGCGGGGGGCGCATGCGACAACCGCCACTGGGGCCTTCGGTGGAGCTCCCTATGGGGTCACGAAACGTGTGAGGGGTGTGCCGAGATAAGTGCGGGGGGCGCATGCGAGAATCGCCACTTGGGCCTTCCGTGGTGCTCCCTATGGGGCCACGACACGTGCGACGGGTGCGCCAGAATGGGTGCGGGGGACGTTTGCAAAAAACGCTACTGCGGCCTTTGGTGGAGCTCCCTATGGAGCCACGAAGTGTGTAGGGGATGTGCCGGAATGGATGCGGGGACGCACGCCAGAACCGCCACTGGGGCCTTTGGTAGGGCTCCCTATGGGGCCACGAAACGTGTGACGGATGCGCCGGAATGGGTGCGGGGGACGCACGCCAGAACCGCCACTGGGGCTTTCGGTGCAGCTCCCTATGAAACCCGAAACGTGTGAAAGAGTGTATCGTAATCGGTGCGGGGGGCGCAGGCGAGAACCGCCACTGGGGCTTTTCGTGCAGTTCCTTGGGCCACGAAGCGTGTGAGGGGTGTGCCGAAAGTAGTGCGGGGGGCGCATGCAAGAATCGCCACTGGGGCCTCTGGTGGGGCTCACTATGGGGCCATGAAAGGTGTGATCATGCGACGGGTGCGCCGAAATTACCCTGCGACGTACCCAACCCTTTCTATACATGTTGTGGTTACATTCGGGACCAGTCAATGCTGACGGGCATGCTGAAAAAACCCGCAGTGCGGAAGAAGAGCACCCATCAGTGAACTCAGAAGAGCGCAGCAAGAAGAACAGCGGCAACGCGTAAGACGTACCTCTGCTGGGCCTCCCAGGAGCTCACGAAAGTGGCGACAATTGCGCAGATCGCAGCCCCCCAGGGCGCCGCGAGGTCTCAAGATGGTCCGCGTGGGACCCACCTCCGCTGGGCCTCCCAGGAGCCCACGAAAGTGGCGACAATTGCGCAGATCGCAGCCCCCCAGGGCGCCGCGAGGTCTCGAGGTGGTCCGCGTGGGACGTACTTCCGCTGGGCCTCCCAGGAGCCCACGAAAAACGGCGACAGTGGCGCAGATCGCAGCCCCCCAGGGCACCGCGAGGTCTCGAGGTGGTCCGCGTGGGACGTACTTCCGCTGGGCCTCCCAGGAGCCCACGAAAGTGGCGACAATTGCGCAGATCGCAGGCCCCCAGGGCGCCGCGAGGTCTCGAGGTAGTCCGCATGGAACGTACCTCCGCTGGGCCTCCCACGAGCCCACGAAAGTGGCGACAATTGCGCAGATCGCAGCCCCCCAGGGCGCCGTGAGGTCTCGAGATGGTCCGCGTGCGACGTACTTCCGCTGGGCCTCCCAGGAGCCCACGAAAGTGACGACAGTTGCACAAATCGCAGCTCCCCAGGGCACCGCGAGGTCTCGAGGTGGTCCGCGTGGGACCCACCTCCGCTGGGCCTCCCAGGAGCCCACGAAAGTGGCGACAGATGCGCAGATCGCAGCCCCCAGGGCACCGCGAGGTCTCGAGGTGATCCGCGTGGGACCCACCTCCGCTGGGCCTCCCAGGAGCCCACGAAAGTGGCGACAGTTGCGCAGATCGCAGCCCCCAGGGCACCGCGAGGTCTCGAGGTGGTCCGCGTCGGACCCACCTCCGCTGGGCCTCCCAGGAGCCCACGAAAAACGGCGACAGGGGCGCAGATCGCAGTCCCCAGGGCACCGCGAGGTCTCGAGGTGGTCAGCGTGGGCGTGGGACCCACCTCCGCTGGGCCTCCCAGGAGCCCACGAAAGTGGCGACAATTGCGCAGATCGCAGCCCCCCCCCAGGGCGCCGCGAGGTCTCGAGGTGGTCCGCGTGGAACGTACCTCTGCTGGGCCTCCCACGAGCCCACGAAAGTGGCGACAATTGCGCAGATCGCAGCCCCCAGGGCGCCGCGAGGTCTCAAGGTGGTCCGCGTGGGACCCACCTGCCAGGAGCCCACGAAAGTGGCGACAGTTGCGCAGATCGCAGCCCCCAGGGCACCGCGAGGTCTCGAGGTGGTCCGCGTGGGACGTACCTCCGCTGAGCCTCCCAGGAGCCCACGAAAGTGGCGACAATTGCGCAGATCGCAGCCCCCAGGGCACCGCGAGGCTCGAGATGGTCCGCGTGGGACGTACCTCCGCTGGGCCTCCCAGGAGCCCACGAAAGTGGCGACAGTTGCGCAGATCGCAGCCCCCAGGGCACCGCGAGGTCTCGAGGTGGTCCGCGTCGGACCCACCTCCGCTGGGCCTCCCAGGAGCCCACGAAAGTGGCGACGGTTGCGCAGATCGCAGCCCCCAGGGCACCGCGAGGTCTCGAGGTGGTCCGCGTGGGACCCACCTCCGCTGGGCCTCCCAGGAGCCCACGAAAGTGGCGACAGCTGCGCAGATCGCAGCCCGACGGCACGAGAGAAGAGGAGAGGGGAACACAGGAGACAGGAGAGGAGGAGGGGAGGCGCCACTGGGGCTTGCGGTGCAGCTCCCTATGGGGCCCGAAGCGTGTGAGGGGTGCCAGCATGGGTGCGGGGGGCGCATGCGACAACCGCCAATGGGGCCTTCGGTGCAGCTCCCTACCGGGCCACGGAACGTGTCAAGGGTGTGCCGGAGTGGGCACGGAGGACGCATGCGAGAACTGGAGTTTTCTGTGGAGCTCCCTGTGGGGCCACGAACCGTGCGAGGGGTGTGTCAGAATGGGCGAGGGGGACGCATGCGAGATCCGCCACTGGGGCCTTCGGTGGAGCTCCCTCTGGGGCCACGAAGCGTACGAAGGGTGTGCCGTAATCCACATGTGGAGGGCAGAGGCAAAGATGGGAGGAGGAGGGGGAAGAGGAGGAGGAGGAGGAGGAGGAGGAGGAGGAGGAAGAGGAAGGAGGAAGGAGGACGCGGGGCGCTCTTCTCAAAACGAGGACCGAACACCACAGGATGGTTGAGGAATCAATACAGCATCATGACAAATCACGACGAAAGTCCTCGAGGCCATCCTTCAGCTACGCCTCTCCAGCCAAGTCGATGCTCGAGGGCCCAGGGACCGAGACGGGGCGAAAACACCCGCCGTATTTTCACGTCGACCAGATCGCAGTGGGTCCTTGGACCCTTGTTGAAACGTTGCAGCCCTCGGCGGTCTGGAAAAGAACTGGGCTCTAGAGCGGGGGAGGCGAACAGAGAGGATCAAGTAAAGTAAACTAGCTCAGCCGCCGATGTTCGGATTCCTGGTTCCGGGTCCTGGCGCCTGGTTGGTAGTTCACGGTTCCCTTCCCTCTTCCTCCATAGTGATGAGGTGAGGAAGACAAAGATGCATTTGACACGTCTGAAAGGCAAGTGTCAAGCTAACTATCTTGAAGTCCCACCAGCCCTCTGGGCGTCGGTGGTTTAGGGCGTTTCCTCTTCCACCCCTCCCTCTTCCCCTTCGGGGAGGGGTTCACCCCTCCCCCTTCCCCATGGACCTGGACGGGGGGGGCGGGAAGGCGTCAGCGCATCCAAAACGGCCTCGGCGAGGAAGCCAAAATCATTGATTGTACTATGGTTTTGGCCCCATTTTGGCCTCCTGGGAGGGCAACCCTAATTGAAGCTCCCCTCTTCTTTGATCGATTTTCCAAGATGGCCCTAAGACGCGCCCAGGAGGCCCCAAGAGGTCCCAAGATGGCCCCAATATGGCCCCAAGAGGCCCCCAAGAGGCCCCCAGGAGGCCCCCAAGGGACCCCCAAGAGGCCCCAAGAGACCCCCCAGAGGCACCCAAGATGCTTCAAGAGGCTTCGGCGAGAATGTCACATCATTGATTTTACGAAGGTTTTAGCCACATGTTGGCCTCTTGAAGGGGGCACTGATTAAGATGACTCCAAGAGCGCCTGGGAGAGCCCAAAATGACCTCCAAGATGGCTCAACATATCCCAAGATGTCTTATACTGGCTTCCTCTGTGTGCTGCCCACTTCCCTGATCGAGGCAAGCAACCAGCCCTCTGGGCGTCGGTGGTTTGGGGCGTTTCATCTTCCACCCCTCCCTCTTCCCCTTCGGGGAGGGGTTTATCACTGTTCCCTATTAATAAACACCCCCTCCCCCAGGCGACTGGGGGCCAACCAGAGTCCATGCTGACACCCCCCCACCATCCCTTATAAAAAAACAATACAAAACACACTCTGCCTCCAAATTCGGAACATGCGCAGCCAACCCGATGCGGCCCCCCCCCACACCATCCCTAACAAAAAACAATACAAAGTACACTTGGCGGCGGCGGCGGCTGCGGCGGCGGCGGCGGCGGTGGCGGCGGCGGCGGCGGCTGCGTCGGCGGCGGCAGCGGCGGCGGCGGGGCGGGGGCGGGGGCGGGGGCGGCGGCGGCGCGGCGGCGGCGGCGGCGGCGGCGGCGGCGGCGGTAGCGGTGGCGGCAGTGGCTGCGGCGGCGGCGGCGGTTTGGCAGCGGAGGGCGGCGGCGGTGGCGGCGGCGGCGGCGGCGGCGGAGGCGGCGGCGGCGGCGGCGGCGGCGGCGCCAGATTGGCCCCCAGTAGCTGTCCATCCAAAAACGACTGCTGAATATGCTCAGGCTCGGGCCAGACTCGGGTGCTACGTATGTGTTGGGAGGGCGGGTGGGAGTGAGCGAGACGGCTTGCGGGCGGGGAGGGGGTAACCTGAGCCCTCCCCCTACCCCCTCCCCGAGGACCTGGACGGGAGGGGCGGGGAGGTGTCAGGGCGTCCAAAACGGCCTCGGCGAGGAAACCAAAATCATTGATGTTACCATGGTTTTGGCCCCATGTTGGCCTCCTGGGGGGGCAACCCAAATTGAAGCTCCCCTCTTCTTTGATTGATGTCCTCCAAGATGGCCCCAAAAAGCGCCCAGGAGGCCCCAAGAGGCCCCAAGATGGCCCCAAGAAGCCCCAAGAGGCCCCCAGGAGGCCCCCAAGAGGATCCTAAGCGGCCAAAAAAACAACCCGATGCACCCATGACGCCGAAAAGCCCCTCAGGACGACCCTCTACTCGCCTGGGCGTCGAAACTGGATGGGCTGGTGGGGATACTTTTTGGGGTCGCGGCAACGAGACGACGGTCAGGCGGCGAAAGCACAGTCCGGGACGCGAACTAGGCGAATTAGCTAAGACAGGCGCGGCCGGCTGGCCCACTCAGACAGCTGCAAGCTGACGGGTGAAGCTGAACTGCAAGGCGCACTGCAAGCTCGGGCACGTGCACTGGACAAAATGTCACGGAATTCAAGCGGCCAAGGCACAACCCGCACAGAGGGGACGCGATCCACGATGGGCAGGTCCTTCGTGCTTGGTGAAGACGTGATGGCCATTGGAGTGACTAGTGGGGATACGCGAAGCGTCTAGAATTTGCATGTTTGGCACAGTCTCTTCCAGAACATCATCACACCATCACAGTCCACATAGAGTGCGATGGATGCCTACCCCTTCCGTACCCTCCTGAAGTTAGCCTACTCCCACCTCGGCAGCTCTCCGCAAGCTTTGAAAGGATGGAGGGCCCCTGGCCCCCGCCCTCAGAAGGAAGAGGCCGCTTTCGGTTTTGTCCCGTTCCCGTGTCCGTCCGCTTCGGCCCCGGCCCGAGCCGTGACGGGCTGAACCGAAACGCGCCGAGGCCGAAACGCGCCGAGGCCTAAACGGGCCGAGGCCAAAGCAGGCCAAAAGCCAAAACGGGCCTGAAGCGGAATCGGGCCCTTGTCCAGGAGTGCCACCCCCCCCACCCCCACGGCCCCCCCCGATCCTCCGCCGCGTTCGCGTCGGCCCGCGCCTCTAGCAGGAGCCCCGCCAGCCGCTGGTGGCCGCCCGCCGCGGCGAGCTGCAAGGGCGACGCGCCTGCCTGGCCCGCGGGGCTGGCGCAGGCGCCGGCCTCGGGGCAGCGGGGGGGTCGGGCCGCCGCCGCCGCAGGCCTCCGCCAGCCTCGCCTCCCCCGCCCCCTTCCACTCGCCTCTTCCTCCGCCTTTGCCGCCTGCCCCGCGTTGCCCCTTCCCCCCCTTCTCTCGGGGCCGTCCGAGGGGGGGGGCGTCCAAGGGCGGGGGGGTCGAAAATCATGGCCCGAGGCACGTGCGCGGCCCTGTCTGGGGCCAGGGGACGCGTATAAATGAGAAGACGCGCCACGAGATCTCTGGAAATTGCATGACCCCCGGCCATGATATTCCGTTCCCCCAGTCATCACCCCCCTCTTGGCCGCTCACGACCTTCCCCCCCCTTCCCCCACTCCCCCCCACGATTTCTCGTTGCTGGGAGGTTCCCTATATCGATCCCAAATGGAAAGCCTTCAACAAGGGTGCGCTTTGCGCGCGCATTACGCCCGCTTCAAGGCATCCCGCAATGCCCAGGCCCTGGCCCGTAGGCGCCGCCGCATACGCGTCGGAGGCTCGCGCCCCAGGGAAGCGCTTCTTCTGGGCCCGCAGCATCAGGGCGCTGGCACGCTGGCAAGGGGCATCGGGTGTCGCCGCGGCTCGAGACTCGGGGACCGAGGGGCCCTGCCCGCGGGCCCGAAACCTGGGGCGTCAGGCCCTGAGATGCCGCAGACGTGCGTGCTGTGCGCGCAGAACGCCTGCCTCGAGGCATCCCGTAATCTCCAAGCCCTGGCCCGTGAGCACTGCCGCGCGCACGCCTGAGGCTCGAGCACTGGGGGCGCTTCTTCTGGGGCCCGCAGCCTCCGGGCGCGGGCTCGGGGGCACTGGACACCGGGCGCGTGCAGGCCGCCCACTTCTGAGCATCCCGTGATTCCCAGGCCCTGCCCCGCAGGCGCGGCCGCACGCGCGCGTCTGGGGCTCGCGCCCCAGGGAGGTGTTTCCTCTGGGCCCGCGGCATCAGGACGCGCGCACCAGGCTTCGAACGGGCATGTACCCCTACAGGCGGATTGTGGGCGAAAAATGAAAGTACCAGCAAAGAAAGACATCAAAAATGAAGACACCAAAAACTCGATAAATCGTCCCCATACTATTTTTGTTGAATGCTCCTCCTGTGGAAGGACAGGTTCGACTTCAGCCCAGGGGTGCGTTTCCTCTGGGCCCGCGGCTTCATGACGCGGGCGCGCCGGCATTGGGCACCAGGCGCCGGTGTCGCAGCGGCCCGAGGCTGGGGGGGGCCGTGCCCGCGGGCCCCCGTCGTGGGGTGCCAAGCCCAAGGCAGCCGAGGGAGCGGAGCCCTGGGCATCGAGCTGCGGGAAACCTTCCGGAGGGCATTTTTTGGGGGGCGCGCAAGCATGGATCAGCGATATCCATGGGTTTGGCGCGCGGTCGCCAAACCCATGGATCGGGGGAGGTGCCCTCCCCAAAATGCGGCCGGCGCCGGCTCGTCTGGTGCCGCAAATCCGCGATTTCCCATGGAAACGGGACCCGTCGCCAATCCACGCCCCCTTGATCCATGTTTGCGATCGCCTGAATCGAACTGCAGGAAACTTTCAGGAGGGCGTTTTGCGCGCGCAAGCCGCCCGCCTGGAGATAGCCTGCACTTCGGGGCGCCGTTACAAAAGGGAGTATGTCGACCCCTATCCCAGGCTCCGTGGTGTTTTCGAATGGACCAGAAATTTTCTGGCCCAACCTTGGGATATACGATAGGGGGGTCGTCCATCCTCGAATAGGGGTGCGGCCAAACTTTTCGGGCGGAACTCCAGGATTGGGGGAGAAAAATCGCCTGCGAGCCTTGGGCGCAAGGTCCGATGCCGCCAGAGAGGGGCGGGCGTTCGAGGTCTGTGGGCGCTTTCGTGAATCCTTCAATGTGGGAGCGCCTTCACGCGTGCCTTTCCGCGCTGAGCTCAGCGACGGAGCCTGGCTCAGTGAACCTGTGGGATTCCTTCAGAAATGCGGCTCGAGAGCCCCAAAGGCACGCCTGAAGGGGTCCTACACTTAAACAGTGCAAGAACACCGGCAGGAGACTCATAACAGGGGAAGATCTCTAGAGGGCAGAAAATCCACCCCGAGAATAACCACCGCGACACGCGAAGCCGTTTAGTAAACGCACCCAAAGAAGGAATCAAACAGGGCAGGGCTGTTGAGTAAACGCCCAGGGCCGTTTAGTAAACGCCAATTGTCCGGTCTGGGTGGTTTTTCCTCCCTTGAATCTCCCCCCACCCCCCTCCTCCGCCTTCCCCTCCCTTCGGCCCCCCGATAGCTTTCTGCCCCAGATCCACGCTCCATGGCACCGGGCCCGAGCACGGACACCAGAACCTGACATCGAGGAAGAAACGCCAGATTGGAAAGATCAGATCGTCGAAATCTGGGCGCCTTGCCCACACCCCGCCCCGGCGTTTCCGATGCCCCCGGTCGGAGGCGTCCAAGAGGCGGGGCGTCCAAGAGCGGGGTTCGCAGATCATGGCCCGAGGCATCTGCGCAAGCAAGGGGGGGACCAAGGGGCGCATTAGAAGAAAGAGAAGAAGAAGAAGAAGAAGAAGAAGAGGAGGGGCCATTGAAAGAAGAAGAGGGGGGTCGAAAAAACGTGTAGAGGATATTAGAAGATGTTTCAAATACTGTTCACAAAATCTGAGAGCTAAAACAAATCGAGCCCTGGAGGCACGATCCGTGTGAAGGGTGTGCAAGGCCGATCGACGCAGTCTCGGGGCCCGAGCGTTGGTGGTTCAAAAAAATATGTTCTGGCCCTGGGAAGGGGGGGGAGACCTGGGCGGCGGGGATTCACACATTTTCTCCGGCACCGGACGAGGGGAAGGAGGGAGAAAGCAGGAGGCATTGCATTGTACCGCGTTGCTTAGCATCGGGTTACACAGCATTGCATTGTGCTGCGATGATTTGTATTGAATTGCATCCTGTTGCATTGCATTGCGTTGCGTTGCATTGCGCTGGAGCGCATTGCATTGCATAGTATTGCATTGCATTGCGTTGCACTTGCATTTGTATTACGCTGCGTTGCACTGGGCTGCGGGCGAGGGGGAGAAGGAGAAGACAGAGGAGGAGAACAGAAGGCGGTAGCGAGGAGGGGAGGAAAGAGGAGTGACGAGGGAAAAGGAGGAGTTGGGAAGGGGGAGGCGGAGGGGGGGGGAAGGAGGAGGGAGGATAGAGGAGGGGGAATGGAGAAGGACGATGAGGAGGAAAGTACAGTAATGTTGTTCGCTCCTCTGGCCCTTCTCATCGTCGTCGTTGTCGTCGTCGTCGTGGCATACTCCGCCACCGCGTCTCACGGCACGAAGTGGAGTGCCATCAGGTGCTCCAGAGTCCTGTGTAAGCTGTACATGGAGATCAGTGGAGTCGCATTTGTCTTTGGACACCGCGGCGCTACCACGTGACGGGTAGAGTGGAATGGTATTTTTCGCCCGCCCAGGCATTGCCATGTGACGATGCGCGAATTGCGTTACAGTGCCTTGCGTTGCACAGCGTCGCGTTGTATTGCATTGCTTTGCGTTGCGCTGCATTGGATTGAGCATGTTCTGGCCCTGACCAAAGTCGTAATCGTCGTCGGAGTCGGAATCGCCCGTCGTCTAAATCTGAATGCCCATCATCATCCTCACCATCATCCTTATAACCATCATAATCATCAATAGCAGCATCAGCAGCATCATCATCACCACCACCACCATCATCATCAACATCATCAGCATCAGCAACATCATCGTCGTCATCATCACCACTATCCTCCTCATCATCATCATCATCATCATCATCATCATCATAATCATCATCACCATCATCATCATCATCATCGTCGTCATCATCATCAGCATCATCATCATCATCATCATCATCATCATCATCATCATTAGCATCATCATCAGCATCCTCATCATCATCATAACCGTTGTCATCGTCATCGTCATTGTCATCGTCATCATCGTCATCATCGTCAGCATCAGCATCGTCATCAGCATCATCATCATCATTGTCATCAAGATCCTACCAACCAGAATCACAATCATCACCATCTGACACACTGCTTTCAATCAACACCATGATCAGCATCATCATCATCAGCAGCATCATCATCATCAGCATCACCATCACCATCACCATCATAGTCGTCCGTTATCATCGCCGAGAATCATCGATATTTCCATCATTGCCATAATTATCCTAGCCATCACACTGCCCGACGCATCCCCGAAGGCCTTGAGCAACCCGGAGGGGATGTCAAACCCAGAACACTCAAACTTTCGAGCGTCAGCCCGCCATGGCCCCCTCAACCCTACGACCTAGCACCACTTCAACTCTCCAACCACGTTGATTCGTCCAACCTCTCGAACACCGACGAACCACCTGGGCAAGCGGGCAACCCCGTCGACCAACCAACCAACCAACCAACGAACCAACCAACCAACCAATCTACCAACCAATCAACCAACCGACCGACGAACCAGGCAATCAACCAACCAACCAGCCGACCGACGAACCAACCAACCCAACGGCCGACCAATCAACCAACCAACCACCCAACCAACCAGGCAACCAACCAATTCTACCAACCAACCAGCCGGCCAACCAACCAACCAATCAATCAACAAACCAACCAACCAACCAACCAACCAACCAACCAACCAACCAACCAACCAACCAACCAACCGAGCAACCAACCAACCGAGCAACCGATTTACCTACCAACCAACCGACCGACCGGCAACCGACTTACCAACCAACCAACCGACCGACCGACCAACCAACCAACCCACCAACCAGCCAACCAACCAACCAGACAACTCATCAACCAACCCGCCAACAAACCGACCGACCGACGAACCAACCAATTTTGGCACAACCCTCACACGGATCGCGCCTCGGGGACCAGAAACTGTTTTTTGAACCATCAGGAAAAGGAACCCTCAGAAAAATAGACTTAAGAAAAAAAAGTATTGGACCTGCTCCACAAAAGAAGAGCGGGCCAGTGGAAGAGGAGAAGAAGACGCATTGGAAGAAGGAGAAGAAGAAGAAAATGAACAAGAAGAGAAGAAGAACAATAAGTCGGAAAATGTCAAGGCCACCGCCATTATATCCCCCCTAGTCCTCACACACTCATAACTTGGGCCTCTGGCGGCCGCTCGGGACGATCCGGGCAGCTGCTGGAGAGCATCCCGAGGCTAGACGACCGCCGAGAACCGACGAACATGCCCGAAAACCTCTCCTCTTCCGGGGGCGCGCAAACATGGATTAGCGATCCATGGATTTGGCGCGCGGTCGCCAAATCCATGGATCGGGGGAGGCGCCCTCCCCAAAATGCGGCCAGTGCGGCCTCGTTCGGCGGCGGATACCCGCGATTTCCCATGGAAATGGGACCCGTCGCTAATCCACGCCCCCTTGATCCATGTTTGCGATCGCCTGATCCTCTTGTCCGCCCCCGACCCGGGCCCTAGGAGAAACGATCCCCCAAGGCTGCCGCCGCAGGGCCGGCCCAATGCCGCCGACGCATGCCGCCGATCGCCCCCGGGAGCTCGCGCCCCCGGCCCCCGGGAGCTCGCGCCCACGGGCGCGGGGACGACGACGCCGTACGCTGCGCCAGCGACGACGACGCCGCACGCCGACGCCGGCGAGGGACGAGGGAGGGAGCGAGGGGAGGGGAAGCGAACAGGAGAGGGAGGGAGGGAGAGGGAGGGAGAAAGAGAGGATCGGAGAAGCGAGCGAGGAGCGAGGAGGAAGGGAGAGGGAGAGGGGGGATGGGACAAGCGAGGGAGTACGGAGGGAAGAGGAGGAGGAGGAGGAGGAGGAGGAGGAGGAGGAGGAGGAGGAGGAGGAGGAGGAGGAGGGGGGGGGGAGGAGGAGGAGGGAGGAGGAGGAGGAGGAGGAGGAGGAGGAGGAGGAGGAGGAGGAGGAGGAGGAGGAGAGGAGGAGGGAGGGGAGGAAGAGGAGGAGGAGGAGGCGGAGGAGAAGGAGGAGGAGGAGGATGGAGGAGGGAGAAGGAGGGAGGAAGGGGAGAAGAAAGGAGGAAGGAGGAAGGAGGAAGCAGGAAGAAGGAAGGAGGCAGGAAGGAGGGAAGTGGAAGGAGGGAGGAGGGAGGACAAGGAGGAGGAGGAGAAGGAGGAGGAGGGAGGAAGGGCAGGGAGTGAGGCCGAGGACGAGGGGGCTGGCGGCGGAGCGACCAGACTGGCCCTAGCCCGGGGCCTGCAGCAGCAGGCTGGCCACCTCCTCCGCGCCATCCTGCCGGCAGGCAGGCGGGGTGCCGCGCGACTGGGTGCGCCAGCCGCCGGGCACTTTCCACACCAGCGGCGGTAGAGTCAACCCGTATAATAACGACGCGCGATAAGGATGCAAGGGCCTTGGAAGGCCATGTCGACACTTTGCGAGGGGGACACGGCCAGCGAAAGCGGCCGAGGATGGGCCCAGGCGGAATGATGCAACGGTTACCTTGGAAAGCCGCTCATCCTTAATATGCGGATTGACTGGTTTGCTCCTCAGCATCCACCGGGTAGCGCTGACTGCCCCGAGCTACTCGCGAGCACCGCGAGAACCACCACGTCAGTGCTTCTCTGCAGCGCGCACCGACCCAACAAGGACGAGGGGGGGCCAGACAAAGAGGACGAGCGAAACGAAGAAACCGAGAAGACGTACGGTACATCGACAAAATGTTGCACCACCTGGCGTTGTCAAGAAAGCAAGCCGATTTTGCAACGGATGTTCGCTTCCACCCACCCCCCCCTCCCCCCAATCTTAACATTGGCTGCGGTCCCGGGTTCATCGAAACGGCTCGGTGGTGCAACATTATGTCGCGAGCCCTGGGGGGGGCGCCAAGGGACCTTTGCCATGTGCCCAAAATTAAAATCAGGGGGAGGGGGGGGAGGAGCAATGCAATATAGCTGACAATGCGCGGCAAAAGTGGTGCCACATTTTGTCGACGTACGGTACAACGAAGGAGACAAGGAGAATGACGAGGAGGAGGAGAAGGAGGAGGAGGAGGAGAGGAGGAAAGACGAGGAGGAGGAGGAGGAGGAGGATGGAAGAAGCGGAGGACAAGGAGGACACGGGTGGAGTCCCTCCTCGTCGTCCTCCTCGTCCGCCTCCACCTTCTCCTCCTCCTCCGTCTCCTCCATCTCCTCGTCCGCTTCCGCCTCCTCCTTGTCCTCATTGCCAGCGTCCCCCTCATCATCCGTCCCTGTTTCGCAACTTTGCCCGAGACGTCTTCGCAACCTATTGTCTCGAAGCTTGGAACTTCCAACAATGACACGGACGGAGCACGGAGGTTTCAGCATGGTGCTCAGCCCTTGGCGCCAATCACGCTCTCAGGGCGACGGCGCACGGGGGTGGTATCCGAGCCCAGCCGACCAGCTGATTAGTCGATCAGCGGCCCGCTGATCGGCTGATCGGCTGCTCGGCCGCCATTCGGCTGATCGGCCCCAAGACGGCCACCGATGCTCCCAGTGCAGGCCAAGAGGAATCGAAGGGAGGTCCAGGAGGGGGGCCCAAAATTATATTTTGAGCCCGCCCTCGCAAGGTAGCCCCCGAGGCAGCCAGCAGGCTCTGAAGAGCCCCAAAAAGGGGCTCAGAGTTCCCCAAGAGGCCGCCAAGAGGCCGCGAAGAGGCAGCTTCTCAAGAGATCCAAGACGCTTACAAGAGACCATTCGTACCGACACTAGCGCCATGGCGGGTGAGAGCCCGCGACTCACCAGGGAGGCGCCTTTGACTCAATGCACCCCACACCAGGGAGAGGGTGCAGTGAGTGGAAAATTGGAGGATGAGTCCAACGATGGGAACAATGGCCCGAGGATGAGGGAGAATGAGGAAGACGGGATGAGCACGATGAGGCTGATGGGGAAGTGTACGAGAAGAAGGGTGGCTGTGAGGAGGATGAGCATGAGGACGAGGAAAATGATTGGAATGAGATTGGAGATGAACACGAAAACGAAGATGGAGAGGTAGGATAATCAACAGGGAGGAGGGGGGGGAATGAGGGGGAGAGGCTGGAGGGGTAGCCGGGAGGACAAGGGTGAAGAAAGTACGAAGGTTGAGGGTTAAAACGATGAGCACGGTGAGGAGGGTCCAAAATCGTATTTGAGGGGGGAGAGGGGGTGGGCGGGCACGAGCTCGTCGATGCAATCCCGGAGCGCCCAGAGCCTCCACATCTACACCCCGTGGCCTCCAAAATCACCAAGATGCTATCTAATCTGGCTCAAGCTGGGCTCCAACGCACCGAGGAGGCCTCAAAAACATCAAAAATAACGCCAAGACGGCTCAAAGGCCTCGCAGACCCCCCAAGAGGACTCCAAGAGGATCGCAGAGAGGGCCCCAAGAGGCGAACATCGATCCAACCCTTCAGGGAAACGTACGTGTTTTGCATATTCCCGTTTGGGGGGTTAACAGCGTCCAAGACGGCCCACGAGGCCCAAAAAATCGCTCCAAGACGGCCCAAGAAGTCACCAAGAGGGCCCCAAGACGGCCCAAGAGGGTCCCAAGACGGCCCAAGAGGCGCTCAAAACGGACCAAGAGGGGGCAATTCGAATCCAAATTTAGAGCCATCCGCCCAGGAGGTCTCCCGAGATTGCCCGCGGGCGCCCAAGGACCCTCGAAAGACCCCTAAAGGCCTCCAAGAGGCCCAAAACAGACCCGTGGATTTCTTTCCTCTTCTGGGGATCGGCGGAATCGCGTAAGCCTCTTGAATAAGAAAGTTGAGGATAACAACGATGATAATGGTAAGGAGGGTGAAGATGATGAGGATCATGAGGAAGATGACAGGGATGAAAACGAGGGTAAGGATTATCACGATGAGGGCGAGGAGGACGAGCATGAGGATGACGAGATAAACGAGGATATAAATGAGCAGCATGGGAATGAGGGTGAGGGCGATGACGAATAAGGTAAGGGGATGAGGCAGACGGAGGGTGAAAAGACCGATCCAAGGGGTCAGGAGGGAGGGGGCAGGACGGGGGAGAGAGTCAGGAAGACAGAGATATCCGCCGAACCCCGCTTGCCGGGGGCGAGAAGGCATGTGAGGTGGTTGGCTGTCCCTCTCCCCCGTTCCCCCTCCCCGGAGGTCCAAAATCCCGTTAGAGGGGAGGGGTGGGCGACGAGCTCACCAATGCACCTCTGAGGCCCTCGCAGCCTCCAAATCCAACACACGTGGCATCCATGATGCCGAAGATGCCTCCGAAGGCGGCTCAAGAAAGGCTCCGACAGGACAGAGAGGCCTCCGGAGCACCCCCGATGGCCTCCAGACGGACCAGAATGCCCCCCAGACGCCCCAAGAGGTCTCCGAGAGAATCTCCAATAGGGCCTGAAGAAGCAACTGTCACTGATGTCCCAAAAGAAGGTTTGCGCAATTCCGCGTGCTCGCCGATCTGGGTTTCTGAAAGCCTTGGGATTAGGCTGGGCGTGTCCCCCTACGGGCGGATTTTGGACGAAAAATAATTACCCTGGCGACGTACCCAACCCCTGTGCAATGCGGGGCAGGAGTAGCTTGGAAGATTTGACGAGAAGGCGGCGACGTGACATGGACGCATATACTTCTGCGAGCGGCATTCGGAAGGTTCGCAGATCCCCAGTCAAGGGAGAAACGATGAGTAACTAAGTGAACCCCTGAGTCACTAAGGAAGACGCAAGGTCCAAAAGGAGACTGTGGGCAAGGGGCTTGAAACGTACGGCGGGGCAGCAAGAACATGACATGGCCGCCCAGGGACGGCAAGGTCCCGCTCAGGTCCGAGCAGTGCCTCACTCCGCTGGACCCACCAGCAGCCTTCGAAAGTGGCGAGCCCACCAGCAGCCCTCGAAAGTGGCGACGGTTTCGCAGATCGCACCCCCCCAGGGACGGCGAGGTCTACCTCAGGTCTGCGCGGTGCCTCACTCCGCTGGACCCACCAGCAGCCCTCGAAAGTGGCGACGGTGTCACAGATCGCACACCCCCAGGGACGGCGAGGTCTACCTCAGGTCTGCGCGGTGCCTCACTCCGCTGGGCCCACCAGCAGCCCTCGAAAGTGGCGACGATTTCGCAGATCGCAGCCCCCTCAGGCAAGGCAAGAGGAGACAAGAAGGAGGGGGGGTCGGGAGGCAGGAGGCGGGAGGAGAACAAGGACGCGACCGCGGTGCTGTATTCAAAACGAATACCCAAACAAGGAGGGTTGGGAAAAAAATACTCCACAAATGCCCCAAAATGATAAACTGATAATCAAAAATCATCCCCTGACTATTTTTCGACTACGTTTGAATATTCCTCCTGTAGAGGGACGTGCCCGACTTAACCCTAGGCTGCCCGCGAGACCCTCCAAGACCGGCTCAAGGCGGCCCAAGAGGCCCTCAGGGCCCTCGGGGGGCCCAGGGACGGCCCACGAGTCCCAGGACGACCCAGGAGACCGGCCAGGCGGCCAAGAAACCCGTCAAGGAGGCCACAAGAGTGACGCAAGAGAGGGCCAAGAGTGCGAGGCGGGGATCTATCCATATCCACCGCCTGGGAACCGACGTCCTGGTGGCCCAGCGGGCCGTGGATATGGATATAGTTTGGCCCCCGGGGGCCCGAGTATGTCCATATCCACCGCCTGCCAGGGTCCCCGAAAATTGATCCTCCAGGCGGTGGTCATTTACAAATTCCCGCCTCGGAAACTCGCATGCGGGCCTCAAAGAGGCCCCCAAGAAGCCCTGCAGCATGAGCAAGGGAAGAGGAGAACGAATCAGCAAGGACCACACGCGGGCAGCGCGACAGAAAGCGGCAAACAGCACTTGCTGCATCGGACGCCGCACACATCCTCTTCCTGGGGGTCGGCGGAATGGGCGCGAGTCTCTGGATAAAGAGGAGGCTGCGGGGAGGACAAGGGCGGGGATGATAATAAGGAGGGTGGTGGAGCGAGGGAAGATTGACTATGATAATGATCCGGGAATGGCATGGGCATCAGGCTGAGGGTGAGGGAGGGAGCCAGAGGAACTAGAAGAATGGGGAGCTTGGGGGAAAGAGAGGGAAAGCAAGAATAATGGGGAAGGGCAGGGAGAAGGGCAAAAGAAACTAGGATGATGAAATCACACGAAAACACCCAAGACGGAAAGGGAGGGAGGTGTGCACGAGGATGATGAGGACGGCACGGAAGATGATAGATACAGTCACGGAGAGGATGAGGAAAACGACGAGAGGGCGGATTCATAGTGATATGATGAAGCGGCGAAGACTGGATGCGATTGGTGGAAGAGGGGGGAACGGGGTCAAACGACCGAGGCGATACGATGAATGGTGCCGCAGAGAGGTCCCTGCTGTTGCTTGCGTCTGCGTGTCACCATCATCATCTCCATCCCCTTATACCTCCTACTCGTCTTTCTCATCCTCCTCACAATCATCCTCATCAGATTCACTATCACGGTAACCAGCATCATCATCATCCCCACCACAACCTGGATCACCACAACCATCACCAACACAGAAGTCATGATCGTAATCACCATCATCACCACGTCGTAATCTTCGTCATCTCCCCAAACATGTCCGTTCCTCATGTCCCCCCTGTTCCCAATCCTGGATGATGCTGTTCGTGGCCATCCTCAGTTCTGTCGTCTTCTTCCTCCTCTTCAACAGCCTGGAGTATGAGGATGATGGCGATGCCGACTGGCCGACCATTTGAGCAAGGGCTATTCCAAATATTACACCCCGAGAAAAACAGAAGATGTTCCAAAGAAGAGACTCGTATGGGAAAGAGCACGCGATGGGCCACAAGCCTATAGATCTTGATTGCTGCCGGCCCTCCAACTGGCGAGTTCTACCTCGGCCCTACTCCATAATACTCTCTACCTTTTACTGTACAGCCCGTTATGTTGATACCGGCTCTCTCTGTATGTACATCCATGCTTATGAGAGTACAACCACCTACACTTATGTTGTTTGTACATGGTGTTTCTCTCTCTCTCTCTCTTTCTCTCTCTCTCTCTCTTTCCCCCCCCCTCCTTCCCTACTCCGTCTCTCTCCGTATGTGTTCATAGTTCTCTCCATCTACATGTATGCACACGTGTATAGCGCTCCCTCTCGCTGTATAAACACATGTCGAACATACATACATGTATATGAATATAGATAGATGCCGCTTCTTAATTGATCATTCCCTTAGCCTATTTCAGCTTTCGATTATCTGATGTATGTGTATACACATACAACTGTGCACAATCAATGTTTATATCCCCCTCTCTCTCACACAATTTCTCTGTAAGTGTATGTATGTGTGTATCAATACCCAGTCATGCATGTTATATATATATATATATATATAGAAGGCGACATGTCTATATACACATAAATGTGTATGTATAGTTAGCAACGCTGGTATCTGCTCTTTCAGATGTACTCTCTACTCTCTGGTCGACTACGTTGCCTACTCGATGAATAACCGTGGGTGCAAGTACTCTCTCTCTCTCTCTCCCTCTCTCGCTCTCCCTCTTTCTCTCTCCGTCACTACTTTGCGAATATGCTTCGATAATTCCCTCTCCCTGGGTCTCTCTCTCTCTCTCTTTCGCCCACTCTGCGTGTCTCCTCTGATTACATTATCAACCATCTCAGCTCGCTCTGCCTTGCACTGCCTGAAATACTCACGCACTCTCTATTCTCTCTGCTCAACTCTAAAATAGATACATATATACACATAATCTGTACTCTCTACACGGGAGCTCCAGGACTAGGAACCTGGAAACCCGAGAACCCTTCCGCCCGCCAAAATCTGCACAGACCCCGGGACCAAGAGCCCGGGAACTCGGCCGCCCACCAGTCGGCCTGGCACTTTCGAGAAAATCCTTCGACTTCCACTTTGCTCCCTTCAGTGCACGCACTAATCGGGGAATTTCCCGATCACGCTCTGGTGAACCGATCAATCGATCAGCTGCACGCCCAGAGATCCAGCCGATCAATCGACCAACCGATCATGTGCAAACCAACCGATCGGGCCGATCTATCAGTCAAATGACCAGGTCATCCGGTCAGCCAATAAACCGATCAGGAACCGAAAGCCGATCAGCCAATCAGCGGCAGACCAGCCGATCAGACGATCAGCCGCCGATCAGCAAATCAGACGTATTGGCTGATCGGCTGATCGGCAGGATCGACTAATGACCCCAGGTAGCCGTCGCAACACGCACTCTTCATAAACATTTCCACGCATGGAGGGCGGGCTGGTTTCAACATGGGGCTCTCGCTTTGGCTTTGGCGCCGCACACATTCGCCCCAACACATTCAACAGTCATACGGATGGAGGTCCTTCGTTTTCAAAATAAGGCTCCCGCATGAGACGTCCTCATATGGTATGGCACGAAGCTCAAAATTTGGCAACAATTACACGGATGGATCGAGGCTCCTTTTTTGTATGGGGGCTCTTGCTGTAGACACTTCTAGAGATGCACGACAACAACTTCGCAAGTCCGCAGCGCCTACAACAATGGAGAGCAGACCGCTGTGTCAAAACGGAACTATCGCTTTTCAACTGTTTTCAAAACGGAGCAGATTCACATGATGTCCCTACCTCTCTCCGAATTTCTTCTGACAGCTGGAAGCATGGAAGGCGGGTCCTTTACAAAAATGAGGTATCGCTGGAATGGCGAGCACACGGGGCATGCGTCCGTCAGGAGGGGGGGGGAGCTTCCCGCAGTGGAGTGAAATACTCGTGGGGCCCCACAAACACACAAACAAATAATTACCCACAAACCCCAGGGTTCCCCATATTTTCACATATTTTCTGGGTTCCTGTCTTCCCCCCCACTTCCCATATTTTCGCATACTTTCCTTGGAATCGACGATCCATTGCGTCTGTGTAATTTTTCCCCTCCTGATACTCGTAGGGCCCCAAGAGGAGGGTGTGGAGAAAGTTGTCGATCATCGGACTGTGCGCCGAAATACGGACAACGATCACAACTGCTGCCACACATCCTCGGAGCAGACTCGAGTGCCAGGGAATATCGAGGTCTGCGCTCTTGTTCCGAGTACGTGGGCACGTCGACAGACATGAATATTGCACATTAATGCTCTTACTTGCACACTCGCCTCTATGACATAAGCCCAACAGCCATGGTTGGGGTTCATGCTTGGGCGCTCAGGCTCTAAATCTCTAGCAGAGAAGCAGCCTGAGCTCGAACAAATGGTGACGGCGCTCGTACACATCCAGAGCAGTAAACTTGCAACTTGTCGCGCCCGTGCTTGGGTAGTGCAAACAGACACGCAACGCACAACTCCTATAGGACCAAAAGTGTGCGTCGTCTTGCCGCACCTGCCCGCCACGGCTCCGGCACGGTGGGGCGTATTAGAATGATAGGGAGGCTGTCTGGCTATGATTCTTTTCTGAGGGTAGAGGGCAGAAAATCCACCCCGATAATCACCACCCCGACACGCGAGGCATTTAGTAAACGCGCCCAAAGAAGGAATCGAACAAGGCAGGGCTTTTAGTAAACGCCCAGGGCCGTTTAGCAAACGCCAATTGTCCAGTCCGGCTGGTTTTTCCTCCCTTGAGAGGGTGCGCGGGGGAGGGCGCCGCCAGACTCAGGAGTTCGGCGGCGCGCCGAGGGGGGAATTGAGAGAGGGGCAGGCTTTACCAGACGGCAGCACTGCTTCTCTGAAGCCCTCCAGCCTTCTGAGGAGCCTGTCTGTTGCTCCAGAGAAGCCTCAGAAAACTCGGGGGCGCGCAAACATGGATTAGCGATCCATGGATTTGGCACGCGGCCGCCAAATCCATGGATCGGGGGAGGTGCCCTCCCCAAAATGCGGCCGATGCCGCCTCGCTCGGCGGCGGCAATTCGCGAGTTCCCATGGGAACGGGACCCGTCGCTAATCCACGCCCCCTTGATCCATGTTTGCGATCGCCTGAAAAACTTCTCGGAAGGTTGGAGGCTTCCTGATCCTTGTGGGAAGGTCCGCCGCCCCCTCTTACCTTGCTCCCGTGGCGCGCCGCCGAGAAACACACCTGGCACGTACGGCAAGAGATCTGACAATAAGACACGCAGGGGCACGCTCGACGTCTGCATTTGACCTTCCTAAGTTGCTTCATAGGGGGCCACATGCGAACCCCACCCCTACCCCCCCACGATTTCTGAGGGGCAGGGCGTGGTTCACTTCAGCAATCGTGGGGGGTAAGGGTAGGGTTCGCATGCGGCCCCATACTCGAGAGCCTCGATGGGTCCCGGGGGCCATCGGGGGTGAAGAAACTCCACGGGGCATCCGCAGGCAAGCCAGCTTCTTGAACGTCCCTGCTGCACGGCCGACATGCACAGCCAAGACTGGTGGGACGAGCAGCAGCGCCCGACACCGTCTTGCACTCACTTGCCCTCGCTACGGGAACGCACCGTTGGGATCGATGCCGTTCTTCTCGAACCACCCCTCCTTCCCAAGCTCCTTGGCGTACTTGCACGCCATGTCGTAAGGCTCCCCGTAGCAGTCTGACAGCTTCTTCCCGATGTACCACATGCAAGACTGGCAATCTTCCCAGCACCAGTGGGCGCCGTCCCTCCTGTGTGGACGCCCCTTGCAGAGATTGTAGCACGGGGTCGACATGTTGTACTTGGCCATCAAGTAGACGCTCCCGATGCAGGTGGCGCACGGCGTGGAGACAGGGAAGTACGACTGGTAGCACGGGACAAACCCAGAAGCACCCGTCATATCCCACGAGCCAGAAGCCTCGGCCCCCGTGTAGCACGATCCTGTTTTGAAATCCCCCGCGCGATAGGCAGGTGGCATCTTCTTCTTCGCCTGTTTCAAAGCCCAATCGTTAAGGATCGTCATGTCGGCGCCAGTGCACTGCGCTGTGCTACTGAGAGGCCAAGACGCTGACATAGGGTAAGTGTCGCCAGGGCTCAGTGGCGCCTTCCATGGCCCTGCCAGATCCGAGGTCTCGGCGATCTTGCGGCCCTGCCCGACGAGCTGCTGGTTCTCCTCCTCCTCCTGCTCCTTCTCCCGCCCAACGAACTCGAAAAAGCCGCCGAAATCATATACCGGATCGTCCACCGTGCCGTCGGCATCCACGTCTGCTCCATCCGATCTCACGCTCAGCTGGGTGGTCGCCGGCAGGAGGGCGAGAGCGAGTGCACACCACAAGCTCATCGCGTACTGATTGAAAAAATAGGGGGCCACATGCGAACCCTACCCCTACCCCCTCCGAAATGGTGGGGGGCAGGGGTAGGGTTCGCATGTGGCCCCCTAAGAAAACGAGGGTGCCGACCCGACAGGCCGAGTGCAGTCGAGGTTTGTGTGGTGTGGGGTTGTCAGGCTTGTCTGAACCGTGTTGGCTTGAGCCAACCCGGCTACAATTGTTAAAGGGGGGCTCGGGACGGGAGGGCTTGCTGCAGAATCTTTGCTGCATTTGGGGTATACTTTGGTCCTCCTTCTCCTCATCCTCCTTCACTTTCTCCTCCGTCGCCTCGCCGTCCTCATCCTCCTCTTCATCGTCCTTACTATAGTCCGCCTCCTCGCCCTCTCATGGGGACGGAGGAGAAGGAGAAGCAGGATCTGCGTGCGCTCAACGATGACAAGACACTTGCGCTCCACGCTTTCTGCATGAGCATCACAAGGAGACTCGGCGGGCAGTCGCCGCCGTTGAACGCCTCTGCCGCTCGGCGCCGCGATCGAGAAGGCTTCGGGGCACACAGCTCGGGGAAGCGCCGCAGTCGAAGCCTGCCCCCAGAGGAGCGTCGCACTGGTCGGCGGCTCGCCCAACGGACTGGAGAGCGAAGGCGAGGCGAGGACGAAGAAGGGTAAGAGCGGGGCGAGGCCCCGACGCCCAGGCCACGAAAGGCCGCAGGACCCCACGGAGGCAGGAGGGTCCTGGGGGAGGGGGGTGGCTGGGGAAAAGCGCAGACGCGCCCGCATGAGAGCATTCGCACACGCGTTTGCGTGGCAGCGGTGCGCGCGGCGACACGGCGGAGCCAGTCAGGCAGTCGAGAGCGGGCGCGCGACGGATCCTCACGCAAGCACCAAGCAAGGTCACGCAGGGCTCACCCAGAAATAGCCAAGGTGCGTGAGGACTCACGGGGGACACCCGAGAAAAGGGACAAGCGAGGGACTACGAAATGTAGACCAAGGGAGAAAGCAGAGGAAGTAGAGTGGCCGAGGCCGGACAAGCAGGGGAAACGGACGCGAAGCTGAGGGAACAAGGCACTGAGGGGAGTGCCAACAGAAACAAACAACGAGGCATGGGAGGGCAGGGGAGGACGAGCGGAAGGGAACACGCCGGGCGGAGAGGGAAGGCAGCGGCGTGGGCGGTCGAGGCCAGGCGAGGAAGCATTTCACACACACACACACACACACTTGCTTTTCTTGGTCGGCGGGGCGAAAGCGAACCTCTTCCGCTAGAAGCTAGGCGGGCGACGCACAGCTTTAATTAGGGAGACAGGGCGCAGGCAGGCGGGGCCTCAGACGGCTGGAGTGGGCGGGGCCCGGGGTGCAGGCGGCGCCGAAGAACTCGCACAGGAACAGGTACGCCGCGGACAGGGGCCGGAGGAGAAGATCCGGAGGGTGAGCGATGTGGTGTTGCCGTCAGCGGCACGTCGTGAACACCAGCCTCAAGCACAGCAGAGGAGGACGTGCCACTTGACCAGGTCGACGTCCAGGAGGGAGAGGAACACCATGAAGGTGATGAGCAACGTTGTGCCACCGGATGATGCGGAGGAGGCCCAGGAGGAAGAACAGCACCACGAATGCGATGTGCAACGTTGTGCCACCGGGTGATGCGGAAGAGGCCCAGGGTGGTAGTCCAATCCACGACCAGGAAGCAGCCAGCTAGAAGTACGGCCACAGAAGAGGGCCGTCCTTGTCCGACAGGATTCCAGGATGTCGGTGGAGTGCAGGGAGAAAATCTGCCCTGCACCGTCAGCGCGTGAAGACGGGCAGCAGCCACGCGCGATGCGCTGACGTCCGCATGGCCGAGGGCCGGGCCTGAGCCGCGCAGCGCCATGGCGAGCGGGGCCGCCGAGGCGGCGAGGTGCAGCGCCTGGCACCGGGCCGAAGCCGCGCAGTGCCGGGCGGTGCCGCCAGGGAGGGGGGGGAAGCGAGCGGGGGGGGGGGGAAGCGAACGGGGAGGAGAGAGGCCGGCGTCCCGCGCCAGCCGTCGTCGCGTCAGCCCGCACCGCGGGTGCTCACGTGGGGGACTGGGCCCCGATGGGTACAGGTAGGACACGCGGTCCCAGAACACGTAGAAGACAGGGCGCGTCCCGCCAGACGTCGTCGCGTCAGTCCGCACCGCGGGTGCTCAGAGGGGGGGCGGCCCCCGATGGGCACAGGTGGGGCACGCGGCCCCAGATCATGTAAAGACAGGAGAGGGGGGAGGGAGGAAAAGGAAAGACGGAAACCAGGTGGACCGGCAAGCGGGGGGCGTGCACGCCACACGGGCAGCGGGGTACAGGTGGGGGGAAAAGCAGGACACACGGTCCCATGTCAAGTGAAGAGGGGGATGGGGGAAGGGGGCTCAGGTGGTGGGAGTGCGAAGGCAGTTGCGTCGTGCTGCCATAGGGCGAGGGGGTCAGGTCGCCGGCTGGTCAGCGCCGCGGGCGCTTTCCAGTCCAGGTGTCGTTGTACCCGGAGCTGCGCGCCTGGTCCTCTTCGCTCCCGTCACACGTGCGACCTGGCACAGCTTCCTCTCCCGATCCCACTCCACGTAGACGCCTGTGCTGCGGGGCCACGCCTCCACGCGATGGTTGCTGGTGTTCATGTCTCCCAGGAATTTGTAATTTATCCAATGCTGCCAGCGGCTCGGGTCGAAAGGGACCTGGTCTTTGGATTTGCCTTTGCCCTGCTCCTTGCACATGTGCCTGCACCACGAATTCGAGGCTGCGTTGAAGTGGTATCCCCCGTTCGCCTGCAGCCTATTCCGGTGTGCGACTGCTGTCTCGCGTGGGCGGCGCAACCAGCCAACGTGGAAGATTGCCCACGTCCGGCTGGTGTCGGGGTGGCGGCGATCATCCCTGCTGTAAGAGCTGCGCGATTCTGGCTGGCGCCAGGGGGCGCTCCCTTTGCCCCTGCCACTGTCGTGGCCCCGGTCCCAATAGCGCTCCCTGGTGATGTCCCAGTCCTTGGCGTCGTGCTTGCGCCACGGTGCCCCCGCTGCGCCCTGGTTGCGGTCGCGGTCGCGGTCGCGGTCGTGCTCCCCTGCACGGGCCCGGTCGCCAGCTTCTTGGGACTCGCGCCTCACCGCCGTCGCGCGCGACTCCCAGGCGACTGGCTCCCGCGCCCTCCTGCGCAAGCGCACGAGGTGGTGCGCAGGGAGGGGGTTGAGTGCAGGTCGTGCGTCTTCCGGGCCTTTGGACCGGTCCCGCGTGCGCAGCTCCCGGTCGTCGGCCACGGCCTCCAGACGCACGAACGGACCCGTGGGTGCGTCGGCGGCCCTCTGGTCGGCACTGCTTGAGTCGTGCTCAGGACTGCTGCGTCGCTCGTTACAAGGACTCGTCTTGGCTTGGTGCTCTTCGACTGCGTCGGAGTCTGAGGATGGGGAGACCGCGTGGACCGTGCTTAGGGCCTCTGCGAAGCGCAGCTTCTTCTCTTGTTCCTGGTCGTCATCGGTCCAGTCGGGGTCCTCCTCCTTAGGGGGCATAAGTGGTGCAGGCTCGATGGTAAAATCTGCCTGCGGCGGGCGAGGTTCGAGCTCAGGTCCGGTCTGCGCCCCCCCTGGGGACGTCGCTTTGTCACCCCCGATGTCGGCGTCGAGCCTGGGACTGCCGCGGGTTGCCGGCGCCTGCGCCCCGTGCACCTTGCTGCTGGCACTGTCCAGGAAGGCTGCTGCCCGGAGCGCTGCCTCTCCACGGAGGACGTTCACGCGTTGCGTCCTGTCACCGGCGCCCCATACTTCCAGCCACTCGCTGCCGATCTGGACGAACTGAGTCCGCCCGTCCTGTTCGCGGGCCAAGACACTGAGGACGGGTCCAAATACCACTCCGTCCAGGAGCTGCGTCGACAGGGGCTCGGTGCAGTCCGCAGTGCTGAACCGCCTGGCGCAGGGGAGGGCGTCACTCCTGATGACCACGTAGTCGCCGCACTGGATGCACGGGCTGTCCGTTGCGAGCGGGCACAAGGAGCCCGTGATGGGCGTGTCTGGGACTCGCCCTTGCTGCCGCTCGCGGCTGCCAGGTTCCGCGCACTTTCCGGGGGTTTCAGGTGCCGCGCAGACGGCCGGTGGCGCCCCGACGGACGCGGTAGCTGTAGGATCAGGCATTCCTTGCAGCACCAGCCCGCATGCCAGCGCTTTGCCAGGAACATCTCCCTCATCAGTTGTATGGGTGGGAGCCCGTGGACCAGGTTGAAGCCGGCGCGGAGTCCTTCTGGGTCAGCGGCGTGCCCATACGTGCCAGGGCAAGCCTGCCGCGGTCCCCATCTGTGTCCCTCTGTGCCAGGAGGCAGCCATCGCATCGCCAGATGCCGACATTCCCCTTGTGGAAGTGGGAGATCAGGCGATCGTCGTTCGCGCTGCTGGCTGGGGGGGTGGTTCCCACGTTGAGAGGGTTCAGGTCGCCTTCCAGTGGGACCAGTAGCTGGTCCAGGGGCGTTTGGGCCGTGGGTGCTGACGTCGGACGCAGCCCCGGCAGGGCGCGCGCTGTGCGAACAGGCATGTCGTCGGGGCGGTCGTTGATCCAGTTCTTGAAGCCCACGCCGTCTGGAATGGGTTGCCGCTCTGCCATGGCCTTCGTAGTCCAGCAGCATATGCAAAGCCAGGTCAGGTCATTCCCTTGGTCGTACTCCGTCAACCTGTTGACCGCAATGGTTTGGCGAATCCACTTGCTGACGCGGGCGCCTTTGTCGTGCTTGAAGGGGCCGCGTAGGCACCCTTGGCAACAGAAGTCAGCCTTGTTCTGCTCCTTCCTCCACCTGGTGCCTCGGTCGTCTAACCGCGGGGGCCTCGACGTCACTCCAGGCCGTGGCCCGGGCGGGGCGGGCGCGTCCAGGTGCCGGCGCGTGCATGAGCATCCTCCAGCTATCCAGGCGACGCCGCTTGCTTGCTTAGTCGGGTCGTCGGCGAGGCCGATGCCGGATCCGAGCGCGTCGATGTAGAGCGCACATACGGCGCGCTCATGGAGCGCCAGGGCTGACAGGTCGGCGGTAGACACAGTGCCTTCGATGACAGCGAGGGCGGCCTGGAGAAGGAATTTCTGAGCCACGATGTCCCCCCAGGTCGCGGGGCAGTTCGCACTCCTGGCCCGGGGGCGGTGGCGGGCGACCGTGACAAAGCGGGACACCGCGGCGACCAGGAGCTCCAGCGCCGAGCGCAGTTGCTTGAAGTGCTTCCACTGTAGTCCGGACGACGCGCCTAACTGGTCACGAGCAGTCTTGTCGCGCGGGCGGCGCGGCTCGCACAAGCCGAGGATGGCCTCGATCACGCCCCCAATGCTTCGGCGCCCCCGCACGGGCACAGACAGGTGCGTGGTTCGCGCTGCATGAGCAGGGACAGGGCGAGGGGGAACCTGGCCTGGGTGGCACCCAGGGTCGCGCCGGTGCTGTCCAGGAGGCCGTTGAGGACAGTGGCCGGGCTTTCCTTCGGGCCCATGTTACAGAAGGCTTGAAACACGGACGCTGTGAGTGGCTCCTTGTGCTTCTAGTACTTGCAGGTAGATGGCTGCCAGAATTTGGGCCTGCGCCTGGGGGCGTCGGTGGGGATACAGGTTTCCTTACCGTGCCACGCTGCCGGCATGTTCGGTCGGTCCCTTCGGGGCGGGATCAGGCTGGGGTCGAGTGCGCGCGCGTTGTCGTTGCCCGTGTCTCCGAGTCCCATTGCCCGCGTAATGGTCGCGAAGACCGCAGTGTCAACCAGGTTGCGGGCGTCCAGTCCTGCCAGTGCCGAGCAGCAAAAGATGCGCCCGTTCATGCTCCATCCCTTCCTGTCCTGCAGGCCGGGGTCAGTAGGCTGATCCGCAACGCCGTGCTGGTGCGGATGTAGCCCGAGGCACCATAGTAGGCATGGACCGAATGCTGGGCAGCCCAATAGTCTCGTCGTTGCAGCGTTGACATCGTCCTCCAGGTCCTTCCAGCTGTGGTCGGCGGGAAGCGGTAGGTGGGCGCGCCCCGAAAGCCAGCCTGTTGAGCCTGGCGGGCCTTGATTACTTCCTTCTCCTTCCGTCTGCGTTCAGCCTCCGCCACCAGCCTGGCCTTCTCTTCTGGATTGGCCGTCTCGGGGATGTCGTCCCCGAAAGCCCTCGGATCAGCTTTGGACCGGCGCAGGGTTCCGTCTCGATTGATGTGAAATCCGAAGGCGAGGTCTGCCTTGCGGGCCCAGGTGCTCAGCGTCTGCGGCCGTGCGGAACATCCTTGCGCCCGCGGTCATGATGAGGTTGCATTGTGGGCGCGTCAGCCCCACATTGATGCGGTGCCGGTCATCGACGTGGCCCACATTTAGCATGGAGTTGGCCCGAATGGTCATTAGGATGACGAGGGAGGCCTCTTGTCCCTGGGCGGCGTCGATGGTGGTGACACGGATCGCCTCGCTCTCCAGGAGGTCTGGGAACAGTTCTGCGATCCCACTGAAGTGTTCACTCAAGCAGTTTGCCGCCGTGGCGTGATTGATCCATGTCCCTCCCGTGGGCCCCTGGATGGCCTGAGAGGAGCTGGAGCTGCCCCGTCCTTGTTGGCGCAGGGAACTGGGGCCGTCCGTATTCGGGTCGGATCCATCACCTTGCGCCGCTCGCGAGCAACGTCTGATGTCGTGGAGCGCGCACGGGTTGCCACGGAGTACGGGGGTCAGCTGGAGCTTGTACGCCAACAGTATGAGGATGGTGCTGTTGGTACTTCTCGCCCATGGTACGAGGGCCTTCTTCACCAATGCAACCACTGTGCGCGCCTCGTGGATGTTCGCGTAGCCGTCCTGGAACTTGGACTGGACCTCTTGCGAGGGCATGTGAGTGAGCATGAAGCGATGCCGGTCGTAGCCGGTGCCGCCACTCCCCTTCGGGGCCATACAAGCTGCCTTGCTCGGGAATCCGCCTGTGGTGTCGATCAGGGAGTCGTCAGGCATGCACACACGCATCCACACACACACACACGCATGCACACACGCACGCACGCACCCACACACACACACACAGACCCGCACACTTGCTCCTCATCTGGCGACGTGGCACCAGAGTCGCGAGTCAGTAGGAACGGGGCGCATCCACACGATTTGCACCGACGCTTGTACATTTTTTGTTGCTTAACATCACATTGGCTGGTGGTGAAACAACGTCTCCCACTATCCACAGCGCGTGGCAATGATTGCCAGCGGTGCCGTGGAAACTGTTGGAACAGCGTGCTTGGCATACCACAAAACAGGTCAGGTCGAAGCGGTACGTGGACGTCGCTGCCGGGGCTCGCAAAGGAAGCGGAGAAGGAGGAGGACGAGTTGGTTTGCACCGACGGTTGTACATGAAACGGTCTGTGAGGAGACCAGCCGCGGAAAGGGGGGGGGACCCCAACTGGCCTGTGTGCAGGGGCAGGGCTGCTTAGAGACGGGCGCGGAACAAGGGAGACCCCTTCGCAGGTGTGTTGGAGAAAAGACGCACCAACCACAAGGGGGACGTCGCAACGCAGCCCTGTGGTCGAGCATGGGCACCCGCAGGCGTCGGGTGCGCCGGCGGTGAAAACAGAAGGACATCTCGCCAAGCGAGGCGCCGCCCAGCAAAGCGGCGACAGACACGCACAGATTACACACGCACATCACACACACACACACACACGCACGCACGCACGCACGAACGCACGCACACCACACATAAAAACACACACCGCACACACATACACACATACACACACACACTTACACACACAGACACACACACACACACACACACACACTCACAAACACACACACACACACACACACACACACACGCACGCACGCACGCACGCACGCACGCACACAATTGTTGACAATCACTGCCCCGCGCGCGGCGAAGACGCGGACAAAGTCGCAGAGCGAACTAGCAACGCGCGCGGCAGGCCTATCTCTCTCTCTCTCTCACACACACCACACCATCGCCTCCTCTCCAAACGCTCAACGCCTTGATTGTGTTTTTTCAACATGGGTACTGGAATGTCTCGACCCTTTTTCCAGGACGAGCGTTTCATCTCTAGCCGTTTCTTGAAGGCCCCAGGACCCCGCCAAGTTATAGAAAATTGCCCGAAACATTCTGTCGCGAGTCCCTCAGAATCCGAGGGGGTCTGGGTTCCCACCCCTGGACCTCTCCTGGGGTGCGTTTTGGCCAGGATGATTTCGAGGAGGTCCCAGCGCCGTTGCGACGAGAAGCCTCCAGGAGACCCCCCCATAAAAGAACAAAAAGCCGCGGGGCGCACCAGGGGCGGCGCCAGACGCCCGCCTCTGGTGGCGCCTCCAGCGGTGGACCCAACCCACCCCTCGGGTGGCGCCTCCGACGCCGCCCCTGGCGCGGTCTGGGCGATCCAACGCAGATCCAAGAAATTCGCGCGGACCTCTGGGAGTTTGTGCGTATGCGGTTCTTCCTTTTCGGGGAAAGAAGAGAAGGTGATAAGGAGAAGATGATGACGAGAAGCGAAGAAATAGGAGGAGGAGGACGGTGGGAAAGCAGAAGAGTAAGATGAGGCAGGAGGGGAGAGGAAGAGGGGGGAGGGGGGAGGGGGACGAGGGCATTGATCGGCTTTGCTTTGCATTGCTTGGCGCTACTTGGCATTGCTTGGCGTGGCTTGACATTGCTTGGCAGGACTTGACGTTGCTTGGCATTGTTTGGCATTGTTTGGCATGGCTGCGTATTGCGTGCAATTGCTTGGCATTGCCTGGCACTGCTTGGGGGACCAAGATGTAAGGAACCCAGGCCTGGAAGCAAGGAGCCAAGAAGCAAAGGACCAAGACAAAGGAACCCGAAGAGCCCGGGCAAGACGGCAAGTAACCAGGAAGCAAGGAACCAAGCCCAAATAATCAAGACCAAGGCACCCAGCCTAAACAGCGAAGAAATAGGACCAAATACGCGAGCAAGGCCGGGGCCCGCCTCGGAATCGGGGCGCCGCACCCTCCACAAAACACGCAAGAATCTCCTTAGCCCAAGCCCACTTCCCTAAGATCCGACGTTGCGGGGAAAAAACACCACTAAGAAACAACAACACAAATACACAAACAAAGCCAAACAACCAAACATAGTTAAACTACCGGAGCCCTAGACTCCATCTTTCTCCTGCCCTGTTCGAGCCGAATCGATCTGTGATCGCCCTGGGGCCCAAGACCAGGCGAAAATGCCCAATGCGAAAAAGATTGCAACGCACAGATCACAGGGCCAGGGTTTCACCGAGGCCCAGCCAACCGGTTCACTGAGGCACTCGTCGTCGTCGTCATCGTCGTCTTTGTCTTCGTCGCCGTCGTCGTCATCGCGTCACATGCAGGACGTGCGCTCTTCCCCGAGGATCTCCCGGCCCCGTCTCCTGCGCGCACAGCGCGAGCGCGGTGGCGCCCCCCGCCCCCGGCAGATCCACCGACGCGCGCGCCCCGAGCAGCAGCTCCACGAGGTCGGCGCTGCCAGCCTCCGCCGCGAGCGTCAGCGCGGTGGCGCCGCCGGGCCCCAAGCCGTCCACCTCCCCGGAACTCCGAGGACATCGGAGGTTTCGGGGGCGAGCTCAAAGTGAAACGTAGACCCCCCGCCGGGAAATCGGTGTCGGTGTCGTGTTCGTGTCGTGCGGGCGGGCGAGGCGAACCTGCGTGGGCGGGCCGCGCGGCCGGCGAGAGACCCCCCTCCCCAGATCTCCGAGCTAGGGTGCGAGGGCCGAACGGTCATTCACTGTCCCTGGGCGCGTGGCTGAAGTGAGGTTATGGGTTGCGGATTGTTGTTGTTGTTGCTGTTGTTGTGTTGTTGTTGTGGTCACTGTTGTTGCTGTTGTTGCTGGTTGTTGATGGTGGTGGTGTTTTGTTGTTGTTACTGTTGTTGGTGTTGTCGATGTCGTTGTCGTTGTCGTTGTCGTTGTCGTTATCGTCGTTGTCGTTGTCGTTGTTGTTGTTGTTGTTGTTGTTGTGGTTGTGGTTGTGGTTGTGGTTGTGATTGTGGTTGTGGTTGTGGTTGTGGTTGTGGTTGTGATTGCGGTTGTGGTTGTGGTTGTGGTTGCAGTTGTGGTTGTGGTTGTGGTTGTTGTCGTTGCTGCTGCTGCTGTTTGGGTTCTTGTAGCCGTTGTTGAACTCTCATTCTTGGGAAATAATCATTATTGAAACCTCCACCCGTGCACATTGTATTCTTCAACTGAATTGCCCCCTCGGGACTCGCACCCTGCTTTTTATCCGGGAAGTCTCCCTTCTCCAACTATGCCCCTGGCCCCCGAGCTACAACAACAACGACAACAACAACAACAACAACAACAACAACAACAACAACAACAACGGCTCCCCCAAGATACTTCCTTACTTCCTCACCATGTAGTCCGAAATCGCGCGGGACTTCCTTACAACGTATGCAGGAGTTGCGCTCTCGCGTGGAACTTCCTCGCAATGTATTCTGACGCCGCGCCCTCGACACTCAGGAATCACGCTCTCGCTTGGCCTTTCTCGCCATCTACTTGGGAATCGCGCTATCGCTAGAGACGTCCTCGCGACTCATGCAAGGCTCACGCTTCAGCAACCGCCTGGGCCCGCCTTCCCGACCCGCCCGCTAGGGCCTGCCCGCCCGATCTGCCCGTCTGGTTCTGCCACGTGTTTTCTGTTTCTAGTAAGGCTCCTGCTGATTTTTCTCTGGCGCCATCCTTCACCCTCCCCCTTCCTTCTGTCCTCCCTTCCCCTGTTGCAAGGGGATGCACTATATGCACGCGGCAGGCAAAGAAGATATACCTCCAATGCGGGTACGATCAAAGACGAGGAGGGCGGGTACCGAGGGTTTGGGACATACGTGTTGAATGGAACCCGAGCAGATAGGAGCGAACAGTGTTACAATGATTGTTGAACTCTCATTTCTAAATTTAATGATGTGATCCCCCCTCCGGTAAGCAGTGCACTTTTCCCAAACATCCTGCGGTATTGGGTCCTCGTTTTGAAGAGACAGCGCCCTGCGTCCCTCCCTCCGCCCCGCCTCCTCCTCCCGCTCCTCCCTCCTCCCGTCGCCTCCTTCATTTTGGCACACCCCTCACACGCTTCGTGGCCCCATGGGGAGCTCCACCGAAGGCCCACATGCCAACGCATGTATGCGCCCACCGCACCCATTAGGGCACAATCCTCACACGCTTCATGGCTTCATAGAGAGACCCACCGACGGCCCAAATGCCAGCGTTCGCTTGTGCCCACCGCACCCATATATTGGCACACCCGTCAAACGCTCCGTGGCCCCATAGGGAGCTCCACCGAAGGCCCACATGCCAGCGCTCGCATGCGCCCACCGCACCCATTGTGGCACAACCCGTCACACGCTTGGTGGTCCCATAGGGAGCTCCACCGAAGGCCCAAATGCCAGCGCTCGCATGCGCCCACCGAACCCATTTCCGCACCCCCCTCACACACTTCGTGGCCCCATAGAGAGCTCCACCGAAGGCCCACATGCCAACGCTCGCATGCGCCCACCACACCCATTAGGGCATAAAACCCTCACACGTTTCGTGGCCCCATATGGAGCTCCATCGAAGGACCAAATGCCAGCGCTCGCATCCGCCCATCGCGCCCGTTTTGGCACACTCCTGACACGTTCCGTGGCCCAGCAGAGAGCTCCACTGGATGCTCAAATGCCAGCGCTCACATGCGCCCACCGCGCCAATTTTGGCACACACACACACACACACACACCCCTTGCACGTTTCATGGTCCCACAGGGAGCTCCACCGAAGGCCCAGATGCCAGCGTTCGCTTGTGCCCACCGCACCCATAGATTGGCACACCCGTCAAACGCTTCGTGGCCCCACGGGGAGCTCCACCGAAGGCCCACATGCCAGCGCTCGCATGCACCCACCGCACCCATGTTGGCAAGCCCCTCACACATTTCGTGGCCCCATAGAGAGCTCCACCGAATGCGGTGCATACAATGACGGTACCCACAACTGCATATGGTTGGGTCCTTCGCCAAGCGAATTGTAATTGGACAGCCCTCCAAGAGCTCACACCCGGTTTTTTTTACCCGGCAAAGTGGGGTGTCACCAAACTGCGCCCTTGGCCCCCAAGGACAACAACAACAACGGTTCCCGCGTGATAGTTCCTGGAACGTAAGACTCGGGTACGGGGGACTCGGGTTGACCTGACGGGGCAGTCATAAAAATGACGAGACCCAATCTGAAATTTGACGCGGGCTCCCGCTGCAGACATCCCACGAAAACGGGACCGTCAAAATCCATGACGCGCTCGTCAAAAAGAGTCGGCAAACCCGAGTTCCGGCTTGCTCGAGTCTTACGTTTCCTCGCGTTTTCGCTGAAGACTTCCTCACAATGTATCAAGGAAACGCGATCTCGCGTGGGACTTTCTCTCAATGTGTTTAAACGCCGCTCCCTTGACACTCACGAATCACGCTCTCCTTTTGCCTCTATCGCGACTTATCTGGGAATCGCGCTCTCGCTGGAGAAGCCCTCGCGATTCATGCAGGACCCACGCTTCAGAAAGCCGCCTGCTCGACCTGGCCGCATGGGCACGCCTTCCCTACACGCCCGCTAGGGTCTGCCCGCCTGGTCTGCCCGTCTGGTTATGCCACGTGCTTTCTGCCCCTAGCCCCTCGCCTGCTAACCTTCTTTCGTGCTCTATCCCTCTCCCTCCCCCTTCCATCCGCCCTCTCTTCCCCTGCCTTCGGGGCTGCACGACATGCACGTGGCAGGTTAGGAGGATATACCATATGACTCCAGGGGGGTACGACCGAAGACGGAGAGGGCGGATACCGAATGTTTTGGATATAAGGTTTGAATAGCACGCGAGCGAATAGGAGTGAACAATATCAAAATGATTGTTGTTGTTCCTGCTGTATTGTATTCGCTTCTAGAAAACAAGTGTTGCTGATCTCCAGAAACGATTCCACGCGCTCTCGCCTCGACGCTGGCTGCAATTCCTCTGAAAACGAGGCTCCCGTTCGAGCGCGGGCTTGATTGGAAATGTGCGCCCTTGGAGGCCCGGCTACGATGACAACGGCTCCCGCTCGATACTTCCTCACAATATACCCCGAGCCCCCGAACTCGGGAACGGCGCTGTCGCTCCAAACTTCCTCACAAGTCAATCAAAATGGCGGAGGCCCAGCCACGACGGCAAGGGCTCCTGCTCGAGACGTCCTCACGATTTACTCCGAGAGCCTCTGGCCAGGAAGGCCCCCGAACTCGGGAGCAGCGCTCTCGCTCGAGACTGTCTGGTGATTCGAGTTGGTGGAAGCCAACTACGACGACAGGTGATTTTGCCGATACTTCCTCAAGATGTACTCCCAGAGGCCCTGACCAGAGAGGCCCCCGAACTCAGGAACGGCACTTTCGCTGGAGACGTCCTCGAAATCCAATCGGGTTGGAGGAGACCTGGCCACCATGACAAGGGTTCCCGCGCGATGCTCCCCCACGATGTTCTCTGAGAGGCCCTGGCTAGAGAGGCCCCCGATTCCTCGAGCTTCAGGCAGTGGCCGACAAGGAAGAGATCCCCCCAAACGGAGCGCGATCGAAGACGAAGCGGGCGGGTATCGGTGGTTGGAGTTGGTGCTAGTGCTCTTGATTTTGGTGTTGGTGTGGATGTTGTTGAACTCTGTTCTGCAAAAGATAAATGTTGTTGACCCCCCCTGCCCAATGCACATTGTATGTTTCAATTGAAGTGCCCCTCGCGCGGCTCGCACCCTGTTTTTTTTTACAAGGGAAGACCTTGAGCCTCAAACTGCCCCCCAATCCCAGAGTTATAACAACAAGGGCTTCCCGCCTGATACTTCCTCACCATGTATTGAGAAATCAAGCTCTCGCGCGGGACGTCCTCCCAATCTATGCAGGAATCGCGTTGTCGCGTGGAGTTTCCCCGCCATTTATTCAGACGCCGCGCCCTCGACACTCAGGAATCACGCTCTCGCTGTGGATCCCCTGAAGACTCATTTGGGAATCGCGCGATCGCTTGGAGACACCCTCGCGATTCATGCAGGACACACGCTTCAGCAACCCGCCTGCTCGACCTGGCCGCCTGGGCCCGCCTTCCCGATCTGCCCGTCTGGTTCTGCTACGTGCTCTCTGTTCCGAACAACCCTCCTGCCACTCTTTCTCTCTCGTGTTCCTTCCTCTGCCCCGCCTTCCTTCCTTCCCCTGCCATAGGGGCTGCACGAAGTACACGTCGCAGGCAAGAAGAATACATCCCACCAAGGGGGTACAATCGAAGACGAAGAGGGCGGGTATCGAGGGTTTGGGATACACGTGTTGACTGGCCCGCGAGCAGATAAGAGCGAACCGTTTTAAAATGGCTGGTGCTGTTGTTGTTGGTGCTGGTGTTGGTGCTGTTGTTGTTGTTGTTGAATTACATGATTTGAAAAATCTCTGTTGTTGTTGATTCCCCTGCCAAATAATCAGTATATGCTTCAAACGAAGTGCTCCCCCGGGGCTCGCACCCTGTCTTGTACAAAGGAAAATGGCATGTCACCAAACAGTGCCCCTAGCCCCCGGTTTACAACAACGGCTCC